CCACATCATACTTGTCCATCTGCTTGGAGAGTTCCATGAGGACAAGACATGCGGGGAACTTCGTCGTAAGGAACTTGTCCAAAAGGTATGAATTGGACAGGTTGTCGGTGAATCCTGTCACTGCAATTCTACCCGCTCCCTTCCTCCAAGCTCGTAAAGGACCAAACACCATGAGTGCCACCGTGGATGCCAGCAACTCTGAGGTGGAAATAGTGCGAAACGGCTCACCTTTCACATACAAGAATGGAGCCGCATTGCGATCCAACTTGAGGTGGAACCATCGTGCTTTCTTCGGATCTGTGGTGCAGAAAGTTTCCCACCCTCCGATGGCAATGCCGTCGGCGTCAGCCATGGCGTCCACCCGAAACACCTCACCTAGAACCGAAGGGACGTCCGAAAGGGGTCTCATGGGCTGCTCCAGTATGGTGTCCTCAAAGAACCGTATGGCCAGTTTAGTGGCTAGACGCAGACTAAAGAAGCTGCCACCTTTCACCTGAGACGAAGCCGCATAGAGCGGGGCCAGAAAAGGTCTGGAGCGTTTTGCTATGCCCGCCAAGAAGCCCATGCGACCTAAGCCGGCTTTAAACTCCCTTCCAAGCATCCTTCCCTGGCCAACCGCCCAGTCACACCAGGTTCTGAGCCACTGAGCCTTCTTTTCTCCGACCCCGAGCCTCCAGCTCTTCAGATCGACTGTGTAGCCGATCCAGCCCTCCTCGAGTCTTACCCAAAATCAACCTATGGCATTCTGCGCCTCCCACCAGCGCCAACCCATCGTCCGCAAACAGCAGGAGGTAGATGAGGGCGCCCGTGGGAATAACCCGGTGAAAGATCCTAAAGGCCAGGCCGGCCAGCCTCCCCCACCAGAACGCGGCGCTGGCCACTCCGAACGTCCCCCTGGTGTTCAGGAAGACCCTCGTGTCGTCCTCTAATCTGCAAGCCTGGAGCCCCCAATCCCGCCGGTGAATCGGGATAAGTCGGTGGGCTGACTTGATGTCAAACGCCATCAGGAATCGAGCTGTGGGCTCGTGACCTTTGAAGGCCCGGAGAGCGCATTCCAAGTCATCGAACTGGGGGAACGTCATCTTGTTGGGTTGTTCCACATGGGTGTTGACTCGAAGGCCATGGGTGCCGTCGTGAACCACTCTGACGTCGGTCCAAGCCTTGTCCTTTGGAACCGCCCCCAGCGAGGCCACCAGCAAGTCCTCACCGTAAACCCTCATGGCCTCCGCCTTATCCATCTCCACCATCCAACCCTTCTTGACATCCTCCAGGATATGGTGCTTCACCCTCTCGATGTGCTCCTTTGCCGAGGCATAGTTCTCTCGCATCACCGCATCGTGTCCATCCTCCTCCCATCGGAAAGTGCCCCCTTCCTCCGGGTTGGTCTTCTTGTCGTAGACAGCCTCAACCCGGGAATCTCAGAGCGCACCCCCACAGGAACTCCTGTGGACGCCAGGTCACTTACGAACTTGTAGTCCGCGTCCTCCACGATTGCACCCCAAGCCTGAACCCTCCGGAACGCGATTTCCGAATGAACGTCACCCTCACGTCGACCGGGGTCGTGCCCCAGCTCTCTGACCAAGGCATCCAGCCGACCTTTAACCTTCTCAATGACTTCCACAAACGGTGAACCTGTGAGTTTACCCAGCGCCAACTCCGTGATGAGTTTGAGTCTGGCCTTCTTCCCCATGCCGTCCGAGAACTCCACCACCTCCGTCCAAAAGGCCTTGGCCAGTCTCGCCCACGCCGAACTCCTCGGAGAAGTCCTATGACCCACAGGGCGCACCCCCGGCGAATTCAGCCCCAGCCCATCCACCATTCGTCTAGAGCGGCCTTTGTACCAGACCTGATGAGGGGTCCAAGCGCCCGCCGGAGGAGGATCGGGGAGTTGCCCGTTCAGTCTCCTTCTCTTTTCCCCCGCTTCTCGACCAGCCACAGGTTCGTGTTCAATTACCCCTCGACGCCCAGAAGCATCACCTTTTTGATCTCCACAAGGATGCCCATCTGGTTGATCGTGCCCTGCTGGATGAGCCGAATGTGAAGGTGAATCTTTCTTCTGCCCCTGCTCCGACTGGTGTGGTAGATTTGGAGGGGTGACCAGTGTTCAACCTCGGTGGCCTCCCCCGCTTTAGAAGATGGTTGAAAAGCGCATGGGCGAGCCAGGCATCCATGGCAGGGGGGTAAGCAGCTGCTGCAGTGGTTGCAAAAGTGTCTGTTGTGGACTTTCGGATGAGGGGTATGTGCACCTGGCCACAGTTGCAGTCTGGCGCCAAGGGTCCCACGTAGGTGGCGGAAGAGTCCAGTTGTGGAAGACCTGATGCCAGCACGGCCTGGAGCCCAGGGAGATTGTGCAGGAGACGCGTGGGCTTGGGAAAGGTGCACTCTACCATGCCATTGCTCTTCATAACCTTGTCCCGCTTCTCCTTCTCTAGCCAAGGAAAACCCATTGGGTGAAGGGAAGAACGCAAAGGTCTGGGACCAAAAGAGTTTGCCCAAGGCGCTCTGGACCAAGTAGCGCATGGTGGGCTCATGATAATGGCATCATATTCACCCGCCTTCAACTTCTGGATGAGTTGCTCTTGAAGCACGGGGTTGAGCAAGTCATGATCTTCCGACCGAAGGATGTCGTAGGCATCCACATGTGCGCCGAGTGCGCTCAAAACCTCAGGCATGCCAGTGTCTCTTTGAGGACCGGCGAACAAGTACAAGATCTTGAATTCAGGTCGTGCAGTTTTGTCTTTCTTCCTTGCCTCCGCCCCTAGTCAGGCGGTCTTGCTCCCATCTGGATGCTCGCGCAAGGGGTGGTCCGGCGAGAGGCATTGGCGACAAACGTGAACTCGGCCGCAGCCCCGTGCACCCTTCCCGGGCATTGTTCCAGCCAAAGCAGATCTGGCGCCCATCTGGTGTGCTTCCTTGCAAGGCCCCAGACCTCAGCTTTCCTTTTCCTTTCTTTCCTTTTGCCTTGCCCTTGCTCTTGCCTTTCTGGTAGCCAGCATCGTAGGGTTGCTGCCGATCCCACCCTTTGCTGCGGTTCTTCCACGGATCCTGCAGGCTTTGGGATGCCGAGGACACCGCCAGGGGGGTGCTAAAGTGTCGCTCCCTAACATCCGGGTTCTTGGTGGCCGCCCGAAGAGCATGCACAAAATCGACCCCCTTGTTGACCTCATCGATCGCGTCCTTGCACATCTGGTACTCGTAGCTGAGGATCAACTTGAGCGAAGGCCTATGAAGGCTAATACCATCCACCGTCTGTGACTCCAGTTGGGCGACATCCTTTGAGCAGATGTAGTTCAAGTACTCCATCCCCGCGAAGGGGTTAACGTCCTTCAGGATCTGCTTGTTCGGGTACCTGAACCTAGCAAAGATGAAATGGTTGATCATTAGCATCACCTTTGCCCGAAACTCTTCCAGATTGCCTGGAGCGGGGGTCTCAATCTTGGCCTTCTTGATCTTCAATACCCCCGACTTTCCCACCTGGATGTTCCCAGTCTCTGCATCGTCATCTTCGTTCCTTGACCCAAAATGTCGAAGGGCCATGGGTCGCAACTCCCCTGAGTCGATCTGTTCGCACAAATCTTCGAAACTTGGCTTCCCGGGACATTCCGCCTCTTTGAGCTTGTAGAACCTCTTCTCAAACTCCGCCCGGAAGAGCTGCATCTCCACGCTTGGCACCGCCTTTGGCACCTTAGATGCAACGGCCTCCGCGTCCATCTCATTCTTCGTCTCCATCCGCTTGGCCGCCGATTGCCAGGCCAAAAAGAGGCTTGCAAACCCAATGGCATCAGCCGGGCGCACTCCGGCGTCAAGTCCCAGGCTACTCCGAGCCAGGCTCTCCAGCCCTGTCCTGTCCGTGGCCACCGCCGACAGCATAGCAACGCTGTCTATCCCCAGGTCGTAGAGACCTGCCTGAACTGCCTCCGGCACCCTTCTTGCCTGCGTCCTTGCCCATGATCTTGAGGATCTCCAATCCCGTCTTCAACCAGTCCCGGTGAACCAGGTATGCAGAGCTGCTGATGAACACCTGAACTACTTCAACTTTCCTCCCACTGCCCGTTGTTTTCGAGCGGGTGATATCAGCCTGAAGCCCTACCGACGGGTCGAACCAAATGCTTGCCGGCGGAATTCCCTCCGCGTCATGACAGCGAAGCGCTCCCCACAGCTTTATTAACTTATACCAGGCGAACAGCCTCTTGTAGGGGGGCATGCCAATGTCCTTGACCGCTCCCTCCATTGCTCTGATTGCCTCCACCGGCAACCGGGCAGCCTTCACCGTGGTCTTCGGGAGCCAGTAGTCACTTCTCTCCGAAGTGGTGGACCGCCACCGAGGCGGAGATGCGCTTCTCCTGTGGCACCTCAGCTGACGTTTCCAGAATCGCTACAGCCTTAAAGAAAGAAGCTGGCACAGTTCGGCCGCAGGGTTCTTCCATGCGAAGGGCTATATAAGCTATGAGATCACCTGCATCTCGCAGCCACGGCTCGCCAAAGATCGAGCCCATGTACTCCTGCAGCCTCCGGCCGTGCCGAACATGTTGTCGGATGGTAGCCGCCCTCCTTCCCATGGCGTAGCGGTTCACGAAGTACTTCGAGCCCTGCTCAGCCCTGTGCCCTTCCTCCACCAACTTCGTCGACTCGAGGAGCTCCACCAGGCTGTCGATCCACCGATTCCTTTCGCGCTCCTCCACATCCTTGCGCTGCACCTCAGTCTCGCATCGGTGTAGGAGTCGTTCAGCCCGGGTCCGCCAAGACACCCTCGGCAAAGTCCTTCTCGCTAATGCCAAGGACGTCCCAGTCAAAGCCTGTGCTGTGGAGGTCTCCTCGATCTTCTTGTTGATCCATGCCTGATCTTTGTAAAGCACATGTGGTCTTCAATGTCCAGCTTGAGCCTCTGCCGTTTGGCCTCCCTCTGCAACCATCCATGCTCCTCCGCGGTCCAATCATCCGCGACGCCTGGCAGCAGCCCCCGGACCTCATCCTCTGGCATTCCTTCAAAGAAAGCCAGATTTTCGCGTGCCCATCCCATGTCCAGGAGCCGCCCCAGACATCCGGGCTCCATGGCACAACGAAGCCTCCTGGCCCCCCTACCACTTTGAGCCCAGTCTTCCGGTCGAAAGACACATTACGCCGGACGCGCGCTACGGCTCTATATATATTGTATATTGTTTTATTCTATTCTTTTTACGATGTTTACAAGAACTGCCAATGTTTACAGGAAGTGCCTGCATGCTTCAGTGGGCCCCTTGGATCCCCGATCCACGTCTGGTGTTCGACCAATCGGGCTTTCCCTCACCAGCCTGTGGGAGACCAAGCCTCAATCCAAGGCAGCTCCCCAAGCTGAAGGTTCAGAGCTGCTCGTCACGCTGCATCACGCTAGGTTCCGTGCAATGGAGGTCACCACATGATCCAAAGGAGCTGAATTAAAGAGGAGGCGTCCATAGGCGTCCCAGATCTTGTACCTCAACAGATCTGAGGATTAGCCACCTTTCTGCCAGAATGTCTGAATCATTGAAGTAAGTCTTGGGTGTGCTAAGAACTTCCTCAGGTCTCGGGTGCACTAAGAATGCGGCCGGCAGTCCTCCCCAGCTGAGAGGATCGTGTTGTTGACGAAAGACCTTGATATTCCGCTGGTCTTGCCACATTGCAGGGGAAACACCAACTGCACAGTGCACTGCCCGTCAAACAAGGCAGTTGAGCCAGTCAAGCATCATCACCACTCCTTCGTGTGCCTTTGGGGTCCAAAGCGGTGGCAGTGCATCAATGTCCAAAGCGGTGCATCGTGTGGCGACAACAGGACCGGGCCTTCCACTCCACTTGCTTTTGTCCTGCCTGAGCAGATACTCATACTGAGCAGCCTCTGGTAGATCTAGCATGATCTAGCTGGCACTGGCAAGTCTACATAGGCAGTTGCTTGGATGAGATGATTTTCTGAAGAGTAGCTCTGTGTTCCAGAGGAATCAGTCGCTTCCTGTGCATCCTGTGTGTTAAAAAGTTCTCCCTGGCCGCCTAATACCGTGTCAGTGTCTTTCTTCCGCCTGGATAGACTTCAGGTGGATCTTAGAGCTGCAAGCAAAGAGAATGTGTTCACCTCAGACCCCCACGCCGGTAGCACTGCACTGTTCTGTGTGCCATGCATTCTCAATAAAGAACACATGGGATTCCGGCACCTTTATACATGCGTTAATTTGGTGTCCCTTCCATGACGTAACGTTTGCCACCTTCACTGACTGTTTGTGCAACCATCCGGTTGAGGGTCTTTCGTGGCAGAACCTTCTCCTTGGAACTTCAGACTTCGTAAGGAGTGGGCTGAACCAAACCACTCCTCACCAGCATGATATGAATCCAAAAGGCTCCCGTGTCCGTTATCGATTCTCCCCATTTGGCAACAACCATTGTACTTTGCCACCCCGCTTGCTAAGGGCAAGTGATGGGGTGATGGGAGTGCCAATTGTGAGGCATTCTCCCTGAAAACGCTCTCAGCTGCCTCTTTATACATCTTGCTATATTGCTCAAAATCTAAAGCCTAAATTTACAAAAACCAAGAATCACATGTCGATTATCGGATTTGTTATGTTATGTGTGCTTAAGTTTAAAGAAATTAAATGCGTCTACTTGCTTTACGCGTATCTCTTGCGACATTACCCCTGCTTGGCGTTCCACTTCTTTTTCTGGCTTTTGCCATGTAACATGACAGTGTGGCTCAGAGTGCCCAATGAAAAAGACGGGATGGAGCACATAAAGTGTTCCGTGTGGTATTCATGTCTGTATAAATGTGATGCTATTTGGTGCACATACATATGATGCGTGGGCAAGCTCTTCATATCTTCGCAGGTCAGCGTAAAAGTGTGCCATCAGACAAACAGAAAGACATATCTGTAAAATATATACAGATGAGATGCTATGTCTTGATTCCCCAGAATCTTCGAGGCCTTTTATAATCATCAAGTAGATAGCAAAAATGCAGACGTTAAATCATCTGTCACAGCACTTTTTGGGTATGACTCCGATTCCGCAGACTGAGATTTTGACAGTCTGGAGACCAAACCACTGAGTAGATGGCATGGGACCTTGGCACGATCTGAAACGAGGGCTCATTGATTGCATATTACACCGATTGTTCATGAGAAACTGCTTGGTCAATATCTAGAGTCTAGAATGCCTACATGATATTGCTTGCTCCTGGATTCATTGCTGAGGCAGCTTCTGCTGCGCCAGGGCCGACCGCAGCATGCCACTTCGGGACCATACCTGCCGCGTGGAACATGGCCACTGGCCAAGCCAGCCGTTTCTAGGGTTCTACTTAGCATCCTTGCTCCTAGTAGCAAGGCCAGGAGCCCCTAGTAGCTTCTTGTTTCTGTACACATCAACTGCTGTCAGTACTCAGGAGGCAGAGACTGCAGCTTCAGGCTACGGCGGCTTAGCCGGCCACGGCAGAACGAACGAACATCGCTCAACTGGAGTTGAAGTTGACCGATGTCCGACGCAAACCCTTCCGTGGCCGATCAATTGTGATACCCTTCTGATGTCGGAGACAAACATCAAGAAGAAAACAGTCTACCATTCCATCTACCCCTTCTTCGGCACCAACTCCCTTCAATTTGGTGGCCAAGACCTAAGCATATCAAAGCATATATATAATCAAGCAAAAATATATCACACATATATACAAAGCATTTCATACACGATCCACCAGGTCGAGTGCGCCTTGACGATCCCGTCCTCCGCAGCGGTGGCAATGGCCGAACCTCGGCTCGAAAGCCAAATCACTGGCCCAGTCGGCTCGAACAGGGAATGACTGCGTGGCCATGGGTGGCCGGGAGAATCCACAGCCACAAGAAGCCAAAAGAAAAATGATACCAAAGTCCAAAGTCATCCAAAGTCTACTTAATAAACCAGAAGAAAAAGAGTAGATACAAGAGCTAATTAGTTTTAACTCTGGAGTTAATTCTTCAGGATTTGCTACTCATCAAGGGTTCCATCAGAAGCATTGACTTGGGAGTTAATTCCTCCTTGAATGCTGCCATGTAAAAGAATTAACTCTGGATGTAATTATTTTCCCACAGGGTCCTGCTGGCTCCACATATATCAGTCGATTTCTGTCTATCTAAAAGAATTAAATCCATAGTTAATTCCTTTTCAGGGCTCCTCGAAAAGAATCAAATCCAGAGTTAACTCTTTTTCGCACGTATTTGGATGGCAGTTTTGGCTTGAAAAAGCATGGCATTGGTAGTATCTGCCCGCAAACCGGGAAGACAGCACCTACCATGGGGACTTCCCTAACTCCTGCCTCTCTTCTCCTTTGCTAAGACTCACTATGGAAAAGAGTTTCATTCACCTGCAGAAGAGGAGCAAGGAGACAAGGAAAAGAATTAAATCCAGAGTTAACTCTTTGCTGGTGCTCCCCTGCCTCCTGCCTCTCTTCTCCTTTGCTAAAGGACACATCCATAAGACCTACTATGGAAAAGAGTTTCATTCACCAGGAGAAGAGGAACCAGGGGACCAAGGAAAAGAATTAACTCCAGAGTTAATTCGTTGCTGGTGCTTCCCTGCCTCCTGCCTCTTCATTCACCAGGAGAAGAGGAACCAGGGGGCCAAGGAAAAGAATTAACTCCAGAGTTATTTCTTTGCTGGTGCTTCCCTGCCTCCTGCCTCTCTTCTCCTTTGCTAAAGGAAACATCCATAAGATCCACTATGGAAAAGAGTTTCATTCACCAGGAGAAGAGAAACCAGGGGACCAAGGAAAAAGAATTAACTCCAGAGTTAATTCTTTGCTGGTGCTCCCCTGCCTCCTGCCTCTCTTCTCCTTTGCTAAAGGAAACGTCCATAAGACCTACTATGGAAAAGAGTTTCATTCACCAGGAGAAGAGGAACCAGGGGATCAAGGAAAAGAATTAACTCCAGAGTTAATTCGTTGCTGGTGCTTCCCTGCCTCCTGCCTCTTCATTCACCAGGAGAAGAGGAACCAGGGGG